CTAGAGAACTGTCCAGATACAAACTCCAACGTCAAGGGCTAGCAAGTACTTTGCTGAGACATAACCATAGTTACACAAATAAAAAAGAAGGAGCATTTGGCCAACAGCAAAGTCAATTATTCATTTAAATGAGGTGTACAGTGCTAATTGGTACCATAAACACACAATTTTCAGAATGTGAATGGGCACTGGCAACACAAAAACTGCACCAACTTGCCAGTTTCTCTGCTCCAAAACAGGCAAACTGACTACACTCTTAAAACCAATTTCTTGCCAAGGAGGGGAACAGAGTGAGGTCCTAGAAATGTCTGAAGGCACAATCCATGCCACATGGAAGCTTCCCCTGTGACATCCCACCCATAGGTGACCCTGGGGTAACAGGCAGAGGTTCTGCATGCTGGCAACAACAGCCCCAGCACTAGGTATGGAACACACATCAAAGTCATAATCTTCTCTGTTTACCCACACTGTCTGGAGCTGCCCTGCTGGCATAGATCTCATCTGTGAGGACTGTCATCAAGGGGGTTTTGTACCACACTGTAATAAAAACAAAAAATCCCACCAAAACCACCACAAAACTAAGCCAAGTTGGGTACATATCCCAAGAGGAAACTTAGAAAGCTGACTCTGGAGTTATGGTTTAAAACACCATCTAGTCTTTATTTGTTGTTTTTTAAATCCAGTTATTTATTTAGCCAACAGAATTCACCTTGGGCTATACTCACAAGAAAACACCACTATCTTTAATCTTTCATGTATATCATTATGTGAGCAGAACAGGAAACAACTGACTTAAGGAGGCAACTGCATGAGATTTGTGCCTAAACCACAGAGCACTCCAAATCCATCATGATGAGGGGATTTTTTGCATTTTTGAGAGTATGATTTTTTTTAATTTCAGGTAACTATGTATGAATAGTAACATTTCTTTCTAAAAGTATAGCGATGTTGACTTTGCAGTCATTGGAGCCACCAAAAGATTGAGCAATCTAAGCCACATGGGAAAGCTAAAATTTTCCCAAAATATTTCCTCTAAAACCATCTGCTAACAGATATTTAAAAAAAAAAATTAAAGAAAGAATATAAGCATTTTAAGAGGTATTAAAAAGACCAGAAACATGCAGAAAATAATGCAGAAGCACTGCAAAGAATTTCTGGGGAGAAAACCAGTAATTTCAGCAACCCAGCTGGACACTCATAGCGAAGATGACTAATGCCACTAGTAACTCAAAGGGACACGCAAATTTAATCCCATATTATAATGCATGGCTAAAAAGGTTGCATTTGAAGATGGGTCAGCAGTGGAGCCATAAATCTGTGTTACAGGGGAGGCCACTTGCTCTTTGTCTCAGGCATTTCCCGGAAAATGGCTTTGTGAGCTCCCGGAATGGTGGGTGAATGCTGCCTCCACCCTACCACCACTGCACAAGGTTCAGGAGCTGCCTGCCCCAACACCACAGCCACTCACAGCCCCCCACCAGTGACCTCCTTTTTGGGAAGCCTGAAAGAAGATGGAAACAGGGGGGTGGGCGGCAGGGGGGTGGGATTCAAAGGAGACACCAACTCACCCAGTGACCCCCATGCTAGAGAGGGCCTGAGCCCATCATCCTTCATGGGCCACCTTCTGACCCCCTGACCTCCACACCAGTGACACCGCAGCCACCAGAGGAACTGGCTAAAAGAAGATGAACTACAAGAAAACATACCATTTCAACCTGGTTTAAAATCACAGCGCTGGCTGAGGCCTCCCAGCCAAGCAGCACTTACCTGTCCCACCACACTCCAGTCCACGGATCTCCTGCCACTTGCCAACCTCCAAGGGGTCCTACCAGGATGCACAGGTCCATTTTCAAAGTGATAAAAACTTGGAAAACTGAACTACCACTATTGCAAATAGCTATCTTAGTTCAGATTTTGTCACATTGCAAAAGACAAGCCAAGTTCCAAGAACCTAATGCAGTCTCCAAAACATTGACTTTGGAAGGTGCTCTTCAGATCAGTGACTCACCTTGGAAAAATGTCTGCATGGAAACTCTTCTTCTATGCTTTTATTACATTAATGAACAGCAAGAAACCCCAACACCAGCAGTACAGCACACACAAAGCACTCATCTGAGTGCCAAGTGTCTCACAGGGCCTAAAATTGGAAGGTAATCACTTTGCTACGGTGCCTATTTGGGGCAACAAGAAGCTTTGCATGGAAGATGAAACCTGTTTTCTGCAGCTGTATGACTTTAAGGACCGATTCATGCACCCTTAAAGCTCCCTCCCAAAACACATTGAGGCAGGCAGTTAATTTGGTTACAAAATATATTTTGAAGGCTACAATGAAGTATTAAGTATACACATGTTTTAAGACAAAAGGTTACTTAAGTGTTAGATAATTACAAGGTACTGAGAGGCGCTTCAAGGTTTCGTTCTCCTATATAAAAAAAATCACTTTGCATTCTAATCCAAAATTCATCTTCTCTTAAAAACAAGACAGGTTATATCTCGGATTTCTATGCAAGCAATTTATGATACCCAAAAGGAAAAAAATAAAAATAGCTAACAGCCAAGCAGAGCTTTTATCACCTTTTTTTTAATCTTCTAGTTCCAAATCAGATGCGTTCAGTACAGAATTCTGATTAGGAAAAAAATGGCTGTTGAATTTTTATTACTACATCCCTTAAGGACCAAAAGTGGTAACCTTAGGCACTTAATGTGTTCTATGAATAACAATACGTATGAGCACATAAAAAGCTTGTTATCTCTGTTTATGGAATTTTTTTACCATATTGATACATTTACGGAAAGAAGTTGGGAAGTGAGGTGAGGGGGAGGAGAGGAAGCTATCAAAATAACAAATACCATTAAATAAAACCTATTTGGAGAGGAACAAGCTAGACAGTATGAAATTTGAATGAACCATGTCTCCTCATTATGGTCCTGCAGCTCCCATGTAGTCAGTGGAGCCTCATTCAATGCTCATACGAAAAGCCTTCACTCATATGCACCTCTCCCATTGATACAAATGCAATTCATATTTAACCCTGACAATCACTTGTTATACGAGCTTTCTGTGTACATTGATTTTCTTATTTTATAAACAATGTAAATGCAGAGAAGTCCTTCATGGTTGTTCAAAACAGCTCACTGGATGCACAGAAAAATCTTCTCCCCCTGTCCCCTCACATCAGAGTCCGTAACCACTTGCTTGATAGCTGAAGGGTTGCCACCACACACCACCCTCTCACAGGACAATTTTCTGCCCTGTGTTATAACACAACTTCATCCCTACAGCTAGAAAAAAATCCATACGAACTGCAGCTAAGCAACGCAGGGCTTTCTCCTTCAGAAATCAGCTTGCAGCCTCTCCAAAAAATGTGGGAAAGCCGTCAGAATGAAAATTTACAAACCAGCCATTTGTGGTGCTGGCATGGTTTCCTTCTGGTATTTAGATCAGTCCAAGAAATAAATTTTTAAAATAGTTCCTCCAATAGAATCCTTCCCATATTTTCAGCTCTGAGAATTCACAGGGACTAAATTCAAGTTACACTGGCTCTGGAGCCAGCAGATTGTGAGAGTACAAAAAGCACCCTAGAATATAATGGAGGGAGGGTTGAGGCAAGTCCATGCATCTTTCAGCTCTCAAACTTGCCTGCAAAAAGAAAAGGAGCATACGACCAGAGTGAACTAGGTTTCTGCTCTACTCATGGCAATAACTGTAACCTGCTCCAATTTATGTTATTTGGATTTAAAGCTCAGCAGGGGGCCGAACATGTGAATTAGTTTTTGTTCTTCTATTTAGCATGGAAGAACTAATGAAGACTTAGGGTCTGCTATCAAATATTTTGGACCTTTAAAAGTCCTTTGCTGTCTTCCCCCACTGAGACCTGCCTAGGTTTCCATAGGTTGGTGCCTTGAGAAACCAGATGAAAGAGCAAGTAGGATAGTTCACTCTCCTTTGTTCATGGTCGCAGGATTCTGTCTCCAACTATTTATTTCTTCCTCCTTTTCTGGGCTCAAGGAAGATGATAAGCGGACAAACACTCTGAGGGCTGCCAAATGTTAAGTAACTAGAAGAGTGGGCCATGCCCTTGGAGAAGACCAGGACGCATGGGAGCCTGACACATAGTTCAGAGTAAAATAATTTGCAGGAGAGCATCCCACCAGCACAGCTGTGTTGCTGGAGCCCAAACCAGAGCTCAGCTGTGTTATTTACCCTACAAGGTCCCAGCTGTCAACCTGGCCTGGCATCACGACAGCCTACGGCACAAATGCCCTTAGCCAGCTGCTTGGCTCAATGTACAATTCTCCCTTTTTTAATGAGATTAGCGCTGGTGAAATGTGCTAGCTCAACAGACATGCCGATCTAAGTCCTCTGTTTTTTCGGGCTACAGCAGACACAGCAATCACTTTTAAAAGAAGACACAATTTTAAAAGACACCATAAATTCGCCAGGGCTCCTGCAATTGCTCATTCATCACAGGAAGAAGAGGGGCTTCTTATAGATCCAGTGAGAACTGAGGACTGGAAAGGATGAGTCTTGAAATTGTGGTAAGTGTATAAACTTAGCAACCTACCTCCTTGAGACTAGCGTGAAGGATCTACTTGCTAACAACAACAACAACAAAAAACTAACAGATGATTCTGGCTTTTTATCCATTTCAGTCATCAAATACATCTGCTGTGGCTACCGCCAAAATTGTTAAAGAACAAGGCGGAGGGGGTGTACGTTAAACACCGGGGAGCAGGGGGGGTTGTCAATAACACAGAGGTACTGCTGTAAATATGGATTAGCAAAATGCATTTTGGTTATGCTTTTAAAAAAAAACAAACAAACAAAAAAAAAACAAAAAAACAAACAGTTAAAGTTGAAACAGCTGAAGTAATGTGTTCACTATAACGCTGTCAAACGTTATTGCCATGAATAAGCAATTCTTTGTTTAGAATGCATTTTTAAACAGAATGATGAAAATTTGAGTCACCCTGTTTCGCAGGCACTATTCACAGCACAAAGCTACTAAACCGATAAAGCACAATCAGCTCCCCTTGCTAGGAAGTGACAAATGCGCCTTAGGGCACGGTATCGATGATGTGCGGATCACGGTCTCTAACGGCGCACAGCGGGGCCATTATCGTGTGTTGTCACCGCGTGCCATTAAAAGGACTTTAATCTGCCGATCGCCGCCGCGGTACGCGGCTCCTGCCAGGGATCTACCGACTAACAGGCCGGGACGCTGCGAAATCCCCCAGCCCCCGGGGTCGCCTGAAAAACACGACCCGGCTCCCCCGTCAGTCAGTCGCGGCAACTCAATTAATGCATCTGGGTCAGGAAAATGGTTTGCGGGAGCCTGAGCCCGGTTACGAAACGCGGATACCGCGGCGGGTACCGCGGGCGGCGGCGGAGGGCAGCACCCGCTGAGCCCAGGTGAGCACCGGGGAGGGATCGGGGGGCACCGAGGTGGCACCTCCGGGCCCCGCGGCGGGACAGGGATGCGGCAGCAGCCGGGACACGGGCGGGGGCCGCCTTGCAGCCCCCCCCCCCCCCCCGGTTCGGCTGGCCAAGGGAGGCAGCGGGGAAGGGGGGCGGCCAAGGCGACTGTCGGAGAGACCTCTGCAACTTTCCCCGGCGGGGGCTCGGGGGGTATGTGCTCGGCGCGAGAAGAGGCAAAAAATATTATTTTAAATATATATATATGTGTGTGTGTGTGTATAAATATGTGCACATATACATATATAGATATGAGTGCGTATATATATAAATGTATATATACATATATATAAGTACATATATATAAAAATATAAATACACACATATATATATGTGTATATAAATACACATATATGAGTATACACATATGTATTCCGGCGGATACATTCCGTCCGCGCACGGCACGGCGGTGCCCCCCCGGCAGATCCGCGCTGCGGAGACCCCGCCGCCCCCCGCCCCGGGCAGGTGGGGGCCGCGGGGGTGCCGGGGCCGTGCCCGGGTGGTCGGTGTGTGCCCGCGCCGCGCCGCTCCGCACTCACCCAGAAAACGAAGGAGTAGATGATGAGGAGAGTTTTCAGACACGTTATCACGGGTTTGGTCTCCATTCTCCTCGATGCCATAATACTGAGATCCCGGCTGCAGGCTGGGCGCGGGAGGAGGCGGAGGAGGAGGGAGGGGAGGGGGAGGGAGGAGAGAGCGGGGGGGGGGGCGGAGGGAGGTGAGCTCAGCTCAGCGCCAGGCTCGCCCTGCTCGCCGCGGCCCGGGCTCACCGCGCCTCCTGCTGCCGCCCGGGGACCCCCGCCCCGGGCCGCCGAGCGGCGGGGAGAGGGGGCTGAAATATCACCTGCCAGGGGGTGGCCGCGGGGCACAGGGATCTGCCCCCGGGGTGTAATTTACTGGAATATCTCGGGTGAGGCGGGGGGAGGGCAGCTGAAGGTTTTGAAAGATGAAGTGAAAGAACCCCCTCGGCCTCCTCCTTTTCTCGGGAAGGTGCTCGGAAGCGTTGCTTGGGGTGCTTAGGGGCTTGGGGAGGGGGGCTCTGGATGGTCGAAGCTGGAGAGGGAATTGCCCTTACGGGAGAAAATATCTTTTGGTGTCACGATTAAAATGTGTGTTTGTGTGCAAGCTGCGAGAATCTGGAGACCAGAGCAAGGGCATGTAGGACAGGTTTGACAGTGCTCTGGTTACAGCCACATAGTCTGGGTGATCCAGGCTGTATAAGAGCAAGAGCTCTGCACCGAAGCCATTTGAGGGGCCAGGGCTCCTCCAGCCCTGTGCCTGTGACGTGCCTCTTTGCAGCTCCAGTGCAGGTGATTGCATTGAGACAGTAGGATCTATGATCTATGAATGAGCAGGTTGTGAAGCTCAGATGCTTCTGAAGCCTGGTCCCTAACCTTGGCTTCACCTCGCCCTCAAATCTCAACTCTACCCTAAAAAAAGACATTGAACCCCAGCCTAAAATGATCAGAAACCTTGCAATTCTACATGTCTTTGAGACCCTGAGCTTCAGCTGAAACAGACCTGGCTCAACTCTGCCAGGAGTGAGAGTACATCCCAGAGAGAGAACAGATCTCTGGAGAGAGCCAGCTTCTCCTTATTGTCCCTGCAGCCACCAGCCCACTGTAAAATCCAGCAAGTGATGGACAGCAGAGAAATAACTGCATTAGTCTGGGAATGGAAAGGGACCTGATGCTGCAGAGCCCCTGCTGCAGCGAAACAGTGGTGTGGGACTCACTGGACTCCTCTGGGTAGAGATAAAAAAGGCTTGTGGGGTGGCTGCCTTCAGGAAAACTATGGCCAGAATGAGGGCACACATGTGCCTTGGCAGCCCGAACTCCTGCGCCAAGACCATGGGCAGGCGCAGAGGGAATGACTTCAGGTTTCCTTTTCTGTAGTTCACATTTTGGAGGAGGGTAATGTGTGCATGGGAGTGAATGCTGGAGCATAGCATGTCCCTCCTGAATGGTGTGCCTGCACACCCCACAAAGCAGGGCTCTGAACTGTACCTTTCACTGCATTAAAATCAAAACAAGGTCAACGCTAAGCAGCGTATTTCCTCAAGCTACAAAAGCAATGTAGTTTGTGCATCCGAGATGAACCAAAGTGATAAACCAGACTTTGCCGCTCAAGGGACAGTGTTTAAAATAATATATAGAAAAAAAAGATGGTTCCTGAGCAAGTGCTTTTGTAATATGCAGAAGTTTTGACATGAAAACTGCTGCAAGATTTTACTGGGTTTGACTTATGTCTTTAAGACTTGGTTAGCCTACTATTTCCCAAAACAATGAAGGCATCTAAAAGATGCTTGAGGGGGGAGTATTCTGCAGGAGATACTGGGGGTTTTAAGCAATCACTGCTTTTGTGGAAAATTCAGATGACAGGTGCATAAATCTTTATTGACTTGGCCATTAAAATGTAAATAAGCGCAGTAACTGCAAAAAATTATATTGACAGTAACAACAGTTATAAATATTCACTGTACAAAAATTATACTAAGATTTTTTTGACAGAAAATAGCTAAGCAGGAGCAGGAGACTTCTCTCCCTTCCCCTCACATGGGCTGTAGAAAAGATAAATGCTACTGTCACAGGCCAGGGGACAGCAACTATTTATTTCAGTAGGTATGGTTATACTTCCCCTCCCCTTCAGGTGTTTTTAAGAAAGCGTGAAACAAACTATAATATCAATCAGAATTTAAATATCCAGCCAACAGAAAGCATGGATGGCTATTTTGGTAGATGCTGATTTTGACAAAGACTCAAGATTTCTGCCAATAGCCTGTGATTTTAGGTCACTCTGTCTTCTAGTGCCTAATTTGAGATTCATCTCCTGAGTCTTCTCAGAAGGATATGCTGGGGATCTAAACTGCACAAGTGCCTATAGAGCCTCCCTTGGCAGTGTTGTGAAAACTCAGAGGGTTTTGCACCAGGGAACCAGAGAGAAAACAGAGGTGCTAGAAGAAATGTCCCTGTAAGGAAATACAGTTCCTTCCTCCATTAATGTCAGTCCCTAGTGGGCATTATGTCCAGAGAATTGAGAAAAAGAGACTCTGTGTTATCTCCACTTGAACCTACAGTCTTCCTGCCAAGACTGTCTTTGGAGGAACTCTTAGTTGCTTTCTGACATACAGTGAAGCAGCATATACTTTACTGGATGAAGAGGCAAATTTTGGATTAAAAATGAGAATGTCTGAACAGAGCTGGACATAAATCTGCCTGATTACAGCAAATACCGTTAAAATACGACAAGAGCACCAAGCCATCAAATATTTTAGGCTTAAATAGAATTACTGAACAATTGCTAGCCTTCATGTGTGGCTTGGAAACACATTTACCTTTTTAAAATATTTTATCATCTTTTTGCAGATTTGGGAGTGCAGATTCTCAAGTATTACTAGAACAAAATCAAAGCAAGTTTTTGTAAAGCAAAATACATTTTCAGTTCTGTAATCCATGTTTGCGAAGATGGGAGCATAATTGCTCTTCACATCTCCCCGCAGAGAGAACATTTTGTAGTTTTTCAAAACAGGACATTTTTGCCTAACTGTGTAATTTGAAAAATATTTCTTTAATACACTAGCAGTTTGCAGGGGATTCTGCTTATGATCAGTGCCCATAAGCTCCTATTTCTTCATAATGCACAGGAAATATCACCTGTCTGAATAATTCTGTTTGCAAAGCATTGGTCTAGAAGGAACTCATCCCACAACAGGAGAGCATTGTATTGTAGAAAGTGAAAATGAGCACTTCCATCCTTACCTGCACCTGACCTTAGCTATTTGATGGTTAAATAGAAACTTTCTGGGGAAAGTGGTGGAAAGATGTGAACAGCCGTTGCATCAAGCGTGGTAAGGTCTCACACCCTTCTGCAACTGCAGCAGGTGACATGAAATATGGTGCTTTGTTCTCTTCACACCCACTCTGGCCTTTCCCAGATTCACTGTGGTGCTGTTGACTGTAAAGGCTGCAACCTCTGCTGCCCTTTACTGAGCATTCTGGCTCATAATCCACACTCACTTCATCCTCCCTGGAGAGCAAAGGTTTGAGGGTTTTTTTGTCCTTTTCCGAGTCCCTCCATCTCCATGTGTCCTGCCAGCACCTGTCCTCAGCTGGCAGAACCCACAGCCTGTGTCAGTCCACCACGGAGGAAAGACAAATCTTTTTCACAAAACACAGAAAGCAGAAGAATAAAACAAGTGCCTGATAATTTCACCACACTTGTGTATCTCAGGTGAGTTCAGGCAACTCTGTACCGGTCCCACTGACATCTCCACATTGGAATTCAGCTCTAAGAAAGCAGAGATCTTGCACAAGAGTTAGTTTGTTATGTGACTGGTAGCTGCAAGCTTTTGGCAAGTTCATCACCAAGTGATGGCCCAGGCCCCAAAATATGTCTTCTCAAGATGCCTCAGATTTTATAGGTCCCCAAGGAGGAGATGGGGGGTTGCAAAGTCAGTGTCAGAGAATGATTTGTCAGAAGAGCCCCTGTAAGGAGACAAGTGTAGTATTGGCAAAGTCAATCAAGCTATGCCCATTGGCAACAACTGATGAGAAAGGTCCAGTCCCCTGCAGCACAGGTATAAGGGAACAAATAGAGGCATCAACTTCAGTAGTTTGGTAACAGGTATGAGTTAGGATGAAATGTATGTTCAGCACCAAATCAGGCTAACGGGTTTGTGGGATGGCTCTGCAGTATTGAGAAAACAGTGCCACCCTAACCTGATGAACCAGCAGCACATGTTTGCAGAGAAGGGAGTAGTAACACTGGGAAACTTCCTTAGACCATTTAAGAAAGTCTTAGGATGCTTTATAGGAAGCACATCATGTTTTATGAACTATGCTCAGTTTATGTATGCTCTTACACAGGCCAAAAAGAGATGTCAAGGGAGTAAGGATCAAAAGAAGAAGGTTTAGGCAAAAAAAAGTGGTAAAAAGAGTGAACTTTATACCTTTAACAACACAAACTAACCAGTCACAAGATCGAAACTTGTGTAGAGATTAACAAAACTGAGGTAAAGCTTACACTCAGTCTTTCAGAAGCCAGATGGCAACTAGGTATATCCACTTGCAGTGTTTGGTTTAGTGGTGTTTTATAATAATTTTTAGATTATAAAGAAAGATCTCTGCCATTCTGTGATCTTCCTTTGCCCCTGGATTGTTACTTGCTATGGGATCAATGAAGTCCTTGATCCTTTGCAGCATGACTTCCAAAACTTGAGCAGCTTTGTCCCAAAAGCCACACAACTATGTGGAGGCAGGAGGGAGTGTGTGGTTTCCATTATTCTGTTTCCCTCCAGAGCAGGGACGTAGTATCTGTTTTTTTCAGTAATATTGATAAAAATAAGCTTTTCATAAATTTTTTTGTATTTCTCAGAACATATCTTGATTTGAAAGGGAAGTTTATAGCTATTTTGTAGGCAAGTACTTCTCATGGCTTGCGATGACTTTCCTTATTACTCTGAAGTGTCCTCTCCAAAGGGAATGGAACAGAAATACATTTGTGACTAATTACCACAACAGGATAAATTAAGATCACCAGCACTTAAAGAGAAAGGGTGGAGGACCTGGAAAAGATAAGAGGTCAGAAAGCAGAAAATACACAAAGAGCACATAAATACACAAAGAGCATATCTATATTACTTCAGGAGAAGCATTATTACATCTGCAATTGATAGGAGTTCTGACACACAGCAAGAAAAATGGAGCCATAGAATTTTATTATCTTCATCCTTAGCAATAAAGCATCAATTAACACTGCACATTTGCCAAGTCACTCAGATTGGTTTGTAATACTGTGTTTCTTCTTTCTTTTTTTTTTTTTTTTTTATTTTTCTTTCTTTGTAGTTCTGAATAACAGCATCAGATTCTGTCCTGGTGTCCCTGGAACACCTGGACATTTTCTTAAGGTCGGTAGGTAATTTACAATAACCTTGTGAGGAATTACATAATTTCTTCTTCTGGAAAGATCAATGTAAGGGGTTAAGAAGCGCCTGTGAGGTCCCCCTCTTCCATGGTTTTGTTATTTAGTTTCTATCAAGAAACGTGGTGGAGCTGCACCTTTAGCTGTGAACACCATAGTGTTCAGTACTATTTGCATTTTCCTCCTTTTCTTTTCTTGAGTGTGCCATGATTTGTTTCCACTAGATTTCTCCTACATCTGCCCTGAAGCAAATGCAAGCAGAACTGAGGAATCTCAGCCTCTTCTCCAGTGCTGGCAGAAGTTGCCTCTTGTCATTGCAGGTCTGTAAGTGTTTGCATAAGAAGCAGGTGCAAGTCAGCAAACTCCAGCTTTTCTGTTCTGCAGGTGCAGCCACCCCCTTGTGTGACAGATGCTGACTCCTGACTGACATGTCTGCATGTTGGGTGGTTTTTTCCGTGCAGGGTAAGAGACTGGTCAGCCTGGATGCCTGCAAGGCTCTGCCCAGCCCTTTACCTCGTCTCTGACAGCAGCCACTGGTAGGTATGTGGGGAGAGACCCTAACAAGCCTCTTGCCTGGGGTGCTCCTAGTCTGCTGACCCAGCTGCAGACACTGGATTATTTGTGTCAGCCATAAGAGCCCTGAAGCAACACTGTTCCCCTCCTTTTGGCAGAGAACACTCCAAAGAGTTTGGAAACAGTATTGAAAAAGTATCATGCAGCTATTTAAGCGGAATGGGAATCCTGGATGTCCTCACCTTATGGACAGAGGGATGGGGAAAGCTCAAGTGTGAGGGAGATGGACTATGGCCGACATGGATACTGCTGAGGGAGGTCACTGCGTGGAACTTCTGCTGCAATGGAAAGGGATGTTATGTTAGCGTGACACAACAGCACAGGATGAGGCAAAGCACTCATCAAAGGATGAGGGTCACATGAGGACCTGCTAATTCTGCTACTGACCTTAGGGTACAACTGGCAGGACCTGATTCTCAGTGGGAGGATGAAAGAAATGGGAGGATGTTCTGGGAGATCCAGAGCAATCTTTACACAGTGCAGAGGACAAGGGACAATGCAAAGAACGCCACAGAGGCCACAGTCAGACCAAGAGCTCTTTGATAAATAGCCATACTCAAGGTGGAAAGCTGAGACCATGCACACAGTGAAAGGAATTTGAGGTACACTGCAGGAATTTTGAGCCAATGTGTTTTCTCTTAATATGCAGCCTAGGTTTACTTCTCCTCCTCTAAACAGTGGCTCCTCTTCACGTCTTCAGAAAACGATTGATTTTTAAAGCTGCCATGCATTTTACAATAGCGAGTTAGTGATAGAAAGAGAAAAAATTACAACAAATTAGTGTTTTGGCAAGTAGAATTAGGCTGTATAAAGCAATAACGTTAGAAAAAACAATTTATTACCGATAACGTCTATGACAACAAATCTTCAAACAACCAAAGAACACAAGACTGGTACTTAGAGCACATCTTGTGCCCACCTCAGTGCCACTGCAGGCAGAGGTCTTGATTTTTAAGGACATGCAATGTGTGTTGCATGTTTTACACAAGTATCTGTTACATGAGCACGTTAAAGATCTACCTCCAGCTTAGATGCCCTTTTTCTGGAGCAGATGTGATGCTTCCTGTGATGCTGGGGAATGGAGTGGATATGAACTGCTCACTCAGACACTGCTTGTTTCTTGGATGAGCAGCTTTTCTTCCCTCGCGAAGGATTTTTCTGCTTTGCACCCACATCCCTTCCTTCAGGAGGAGCAAACTTAGCACTGTTTCCTGGAGACACCCATTGCTGGTCCCTCTCAATTTCCTTCACAGAGAAGCCTTGTGTCCTCCACAAACACTCAACAATTTCCTAAGCCATTGGGTGAGGAGCTCTGTTCCTCTAAGCAGAGGAGCAGCAAACACTTGTGGACTCTGTGTCAGGCTTACCAGCTGTAAGAAGCTCCACCTGTCAGGCCCCTAACACACCCTCCTACCCTTCCCAAGTTCTTGAATGCCTGGGCTCAGGGTCAGCTTAGGTAAGGATTGCAGGTGTCACATCTTGAATCAAAGGTTTGAGAAAACACTGTGAGAAGCCTTGGTGGGAATGGCCACTCTTCCCTGAGCTTTTAAGCTGAGCACTCTACCTGTGCTCTTTGCCTAAGCTACCTCTGTAGCTACATCACAGACATGCCTGTGCCCATTCCTGTGCTCCAGGCTGGCCACCCACCCGAGATGGACTCAGCCCAAGGAACCCAAGAAGCATACGGAGCTTGTTCACAAATCCTCCCTGGCACTGGAAACAAAGCACCGTATGCTCAAGCAGCCAGAGCAAAAGAATGCATCCAAGGCAAAGGGAGTCAAGAGCAGAAGGGCAAGGGAGGTACACAGGGAAGGCACCAGGACATCTGCTTCATGATTCCCCTCCTCCTCCTTATGGCCACTGGTGGGTAACACCAGGGAGTGCCTCTCTGACTTCACTTTCTGACATCCTGCCCCTAAGGTGGCTAAATCTTCCCCTCTCTTACTGCTTTTGGACATCATCACTCCCCTCCTCTTTGCCTTAGGTTTTCCTAGCCCCTTGCTGTGTTAGCTGCCCACTCAGCCCAGTGTGCAGGTGAAACCAACAGCTGTATCAGCAACAAGCATTGGGAGCAAGGAGATCAGGTCCTGTATGTGTGCCATTGTCCCTAGAACAGAGCATGGCAGGCAAGACCCCACCCCACTGTCACTGATGTATAAGTCACAAAAGTCGCCTGCATCACCGGTCTGTCACACTGGGTCTGCTGGCTCAGACTGTAGATACTCAGAGTTTTAATTAACATGGAAACAAGCAGGGCTTTCTTTTTTGAACATGTATAGTTGAGGCTGATAAAGTTTTGCATCAGTTTATTGTTTTGTGTGAGCTTATTGCCTTTGAGATATGTGATTTCCAACATGTATACTCGAGTCCAATAAAGTTTTGTATCAGTTTATTGCCTTTAAAATGTATGATTTTCACATTTGTCCTGAATTGTATCTGTTAACATTTCTTCTTTTCCTGGACAACCAACAGAAAAATGCTTGTATTAGGAATTGAGATAAATAGTTTATTGACTCATTTGAAATATCTTTTTTATGATATAAAGTCACTTATACTCAATACTCAATCTCATATGGCAAAAGAAAACATAAAAAAGGGACAGCATAAACATCAGCACTGCAACACACCATGAAAATGATCTCTGAAGAACCCCCTACACTGTCCAGCTTCTCATGGAGCTTCTGACCTGATCAAGGGTCACAGATCTGTACCAGAACATCCCATGTCTTCCTGCCATCATGCTGGCCTCATGGATGAGGGATGCAAAGCATGTCTTCAGTCCCTGGGAATCACTGCAGGCGTCCCAGTGACACTTGTGTTGAATCTCCCCTCCAGGGCAGAAGAATTCAGCAAGTCTCTTATTCATCGCTTTGATGCCTGAGAATCTACAGGATTTAGAAAATGAAGTCTCTCTGACTCTTCCTTTTTTCCATTTCAGTGTTTTCTTTCCACCTTGCATTTTGCAGTCCTCTCCGAGGCCCAGCCCAGCCTGCAGACCTGTGCAGGATCTTTTATCCCACAGACCACCCTTGGGGAGGTTGTCATGAGGCAGTTGCACAATGTACGTAAGTAAAGAAGCTATAAGGACTGCACAAGTCACACAGAACCAAACTAAATTACATACTGGTTTTCACTAGGTTCTGATGACTTCAGAAGCACAGCAAGGGCCTCTGTAATACTTATGAATTACTGACATGGTATTATTTCTGTGCAGGAGCAGGACAAAATAGTTACACAGGGGGTGCACTACGGATGTGGTACTGTACAGAAAGACCTCACCATTTCCATGCAGGAATAAAAGAACCAGGTACACCTTTCTAGTTTTGATGCAGGATTTGGTTTTTAGCACCTGGATAACATTACTGACCTCCAGAGCATTGCTGTAGACTGTGAAGTAGTACCAAATAAAATACAAAGTTCTACATTTACTTTCTCCTGAAGATTTTTCTGTCAAACTGGGTCAACTTCTAAGTAAAGCAAGAGAGCATTTTAATCTGTCAGCACTTCAAAACCAGTCTGGTACTTGAAAATTACTTCTGGGCTTAAAAATGTTATGGACTCTGAATTTGGAATGCAGTATTGTTGGTACATAAGATCTAATGGTATATAATTCAAAACCTGATCTTTCCTGATCTTAGCTGACCATTATTTTAGCAAATGTTTGCTTTGGTGGGGTTTGGGGGTGATATGAGCAAATGAAAGCTCCATGAAGATATTTTTGCTAACACTGAAAATGAAAAACTAAACCAACATCCCCCCAGTTTTTTAATCAGTAGTGTTTACCACCTTTAAAAAAATGCACTCTATTATAGATGTGGAAGCAGATCATAAAACTGCTCTGCCCAGATCTGCAGGGGAATCAAACAGATGGCAGATCCCACTGCAATTTGGATGAAGATTTCATAGCTAGATAATCAAGAAAATAGTAAAGTGGTTTCAAGGTCAACAATGAGGTGAAAATCAGATTTTCTTCAGCTAGGAGCATCTACAGCCTTTCTCACACATTTAGAGGAAATGCACCAAACTCAGAAATTTCTTCACTACCAAGAGCAAAAGCCCTCAGTGTAAGAAGATATGGCTACAGGGGAGAATTTTCTTGGTTAACTAGCTTTTTTAAAATTAAAATTTAAACTATTATTTCCAAATAGTTGTGCATGACTATTTATGTGACTGTATGTTAGTATGTTTTTTTAAATTCAATTAAACCTACAGGTGGTCATACACCAGATTGTAAATAATATTAGTTATGAATTTTGGCAACCAAAATGATTTTCAAATAATGATTATTGTTATTGAATTTGTTCTGGGACCAACACTCATGTAGAGCTGTTGGCAGATGTTTCTTTTCCTCTGTGCTTGTGTCTTTTATGCCCTCACAAATCCCTGAATTGAGAAGTTATAGCTTTAAATGGAAAATATCCTCCCTGATTTGTTGTGTTCTTTTAAAAATAAAAACCTCAAGCAATCCAGTTTGTGATATCCATCAGGCTCAGCTACACAGATCTGGAGGCTGTATTTCTCTCTTGTTTATGTCACTGATCTGGTTTTAGTTAATTTTCACTTCCAGATGTCTCTTGTGCATGTTGGTTTTTTTTCTTTTTCTGGTTAACAGGATATAAATCACCTTGATAGGACAGAGCTGTTTGCTCTGTTTTACTTGTTTTATTTCTGGATGTGTTTTCCAGAACCTGATCCCTCATCAGGCAAAAACGAACTAAGTTTTACTGGCTTAAAACACAGCTTTTACTACAGTTATTTAGTGGCATGAAATATGCACAACCCAGTGAGGAATCATTTTTGTAGTCTGAGCGTTTGTCTCTTCTTTCATTAAATGGGCACAAAGATCTGCTCTGACAAGGGTTGGATTGACTCCAGTTAGCATGGCTAAAAGAACAAAGGTGTGGGTTACTGTTATGAAGGCTGGCTCCTACTTGCTGAGTTAGTATATTATCTACAGAAAACAATGCTAAACGACATCATTTTTGGTATCTCCCTTCTGTGAGAGGCAAAGGTTTTGGCTTTTCTCATTTTCAGTGAAAAAGGTGTTGTACAACACCGTTAGTAGACCTGCAATGGGGGCTCTGCCAAGCAAATCAATTCTGCACTGCATCATCTTCTGCTGAATCACTTCTGGTCCTGAGGGTTCCCTCTCAGGGAGTGGAGGATGGTGCCACTGTCCAAGTAGCTCCTCCAGGATTTTTCCTGCAGGGATTTCTGAAGAGGGGTGTTTGGGTGCAGTGGTGTCAGTTGTGCCTTAGTGAACTTGAGCAGATCCCCACCACATTTCTTCAGGTACAGGGGGGCCAGATGCCTTTGTATATGGATATTTAATTGCTGGATTATGTAAAGCACTGCAGCAACCAAATACTTCCTACTGCTTTCCCAAAGAACTGCTGCAGGGACACTCACATATTGCATACAAGGATCCCAGGGCACCTCGTACTTTTCTCTGAAGCTTTGAGAACTTAAAGAGGTGAGATCCAGCAATCTTGGAAAAAGCCTGAGGACTGGTCCACCAAGTAGAAAATCTCAAGGGCTGGGACAGCCCCAGGTCTGTTCTGTGTTGCCATTTCCCTGTTGGTAGCACAGGGGTAATAACATTCAACTGCAGGCACTCAAAAAGAAAGAATAGAAATGTTTCTAAAATTTTCCAAAGCTTACAAAGTTATGTAGAGTCATTACTACTGCTTCTCTAACCCAAAAAAGTCCATGATTCAGGGGCCTGCTCTTTGCAGTTATCATCTCCGGAGAGTCCTTGGTGGGACAATTCAACTTACAGCAACATTTGCTTTATTTAGGGACCATATGCAGGTGCTTTTTGGACACTTTCTGCCTGCTGACCAGCTCATCTGAACGTAGTTTGAGAAAAGCAGTCACAGAGCACATGCCAACAGCCAGCAGCATAGAGGCACATACCAGCTGTTGTCACCGAGGTTACATTTTAATTGTTATTCAGACTTGCATTATCAAACCTACTATTTTGGGTTTTGTGCTAGTCAGCCGAGGTCCTGAGCTCCTGCTGATCAAGGATCATGAAGGAGACGATGCAGCAAGTCAGTGATATTTGTATGCTGAAAGTCACTCGTGCTTTGAGAGCCTGCCAAAAATAATGTTTCAGAGGGCATGTATAACACTGCCAAAATCAAGCTGATGAATGGCTGTATCATTGAATTTGGATGCAGAATGAGGGTCAAGTTCAGAACAGTCTAGCAGTAGGGTATTCACACAATCTGAGCAGGATGAGACCAGGGCATTTTGTAATCAACACTTATTAAAAAGAAGTTGTTTAGCCTAAAGTGCAAGAGAGGGATGGCAGAGAGAAATTAAATCTGGAAGGTAGATGATAAGGCAAGTTTAGGGCTGTGTGGTGCCAGGCTTATCTGAGCTTTTGGGAGTTTCCTCTAGTTAGGCACAGGAAAACAAGGAAGGGAAATGCTGATGGTCTCTTTTGGAACTTGTTCCCATCCAAGAGTGTGCTCTTCAATACTGATGATGACTCTTCCAGAAGTAGAACTGTTCATGGTTAATATTGATTCAAAACACAGTAATAAGAAGCCTGTAGATTAAATACTGCATGCTGCTTTGCCTGAAGATGCGAGGGATTTAAAATTAAAAAGTGAGCCTTAGTTCTGAAAGAATACAGCCTTGCATTTCATTTTTTCATTGAGGAATTTTATCTCCCTGGGTAACAGGCAGGTGATACAGCAAAAAGTGTATCACTCTTTCCTGTCTAGAGAAAGGTGGCAGAGAAAAGCATGGATCAGGCACAGAAAGTGTCAGGTCCTGGCTGAACACCCTTCTGTCTTAGCTTTTGCTTTTCAGTTCCATTTACATTTTTCTCTTTAACTGGTGGGTACTTTCCCATTGTTTTTCACTGAAAGAGATTCTTTTATAAGTTACTTTGGACTAAAGCCAGTTTTAACCATTTTTATAGCGAAAGACCTTGTGACCAAGAGAGATATCACAGTAATTCAGGTCCACCATGTGATGACTTCTGAGGAGAAAACTACAAGCTTACCTAAGAGACAATGCTGCCTAAAGCAGCCACCAACCATAGTACTGCTAATTGCTATTACCTTATGAAAAGTGCAGTATCATTTCTAACACACACAAAGGACAGTGCTTGGGGGCATGTTGGGAACACCGTGGACAATTGAATTAGAATAACTGGATATATGGTGATTGTGGTTATATCTTACTGTGGCTTTTGTGATCTCAGTGATATCATATACATCAGTCATAAGCTCTGAGTGATGACTGGCCAAATCCATAGAAAAAGGCTGAGTCCTTTTTGTGGCATTATGTTCAGATGGCATTATGTTCAGATAGCATTATAGCAAACAGATGACTAAGAAAACCACTTAATGCAAATTAGTTGTTTGTACCCAGAAATCTCATGTGAGAGAGCTCATGATGCTCAATGGAAAACAAATACAACAAGAGAACAACAAACATGTAATTGAATAGAGTTTAGAGCTGAGGCTGTCTATCCAAAATCATCTGTTTAGTGTTGCTATGATATCTAGTGATGGACAAATCCACACCGCTGTATCTGGACATACTGGTTTAATAGATAGTTGTTTGTTCTACATCTATGCTTAGATTACTAAATGACTTGTGTGAGGCAAATTAAATCTCATGGCAGAATATTACATTAGAAACATTAGCTAAGCCTTATAGACCTGAATTATTGCAGAGCTATTCCAAATCATGAGTGATGATTTATACCTATAGTTTTATTAATTTATTGCCTGGCCCTAAATTGGAGGGTTGCTCTTCAGAAAAATGCCTCAGTTAAAATAAGAACTGAACTCCAGAAGACAGAGGACTTTGATTCAAGATAGCAAAGAGGATAATAAGGATTGAAGAGTCTGTGAATGATGTATTAGCTTGCAGCTCGAATTCAGCTCCGGCAGAAATCTTGCCAAGATACCCAATTTTCTTATCTCTGGACAGCAGAGCTGATAGCTTTCCATTTCATTCAGAGAAGAGTCAGATTTTGAACCGTGTACTAAACAGTTATCAGTGTGTCCCTCTTCTACCCCAACAAGTCCATTTCAGTTATCTTTAAGGTCAGAGCTAGAGCAGGGCAGTTCACATAAGGAGTTTGTCTTTAGCTGCCCAGCTCCTGCTCAGGCCCTTCTTTCTGTGAGCCTTGGAAGGACCACAAATGTTGTGTCTCTGGTCAAGGACTTCACCACATCTCAAGGATTCATCCTCTTCCTCACCGCTGGCAGACATCCATCATGGGGATCTGGGCTAAAGTGTTGGTTGCTTTGTTCCCTGGTCTCCCTGTGTTTCCTCGCACCTCCCAAACACCCACAGTGGGGTTAACCACATTAGTACCAATTCCTCCAGCATGGATTTGTCTGTGTACAAGCACTGATAAATGGTCCCTCTCCAAATATCCCTGTGAACAAAGAGTGGCAATTCAAATGTTTGTTGAAACACAAAGGGATTTAAGCCTGGCTGAGCAGGATCTGTCTGCTTAGGCACAAATATTTGAGGGGACATTTCTCCATCATTTGCTCAGCTAATTTCCAGGGATATACAAAACTGATTATCTAATTGATGACTCACTGTCAGCGTCTATGATCAAAAAATACTGAAAGCCTGCAGAGAGAAGTATATTTCATTCTCCTGTGTAAAACTGAAGGTGACACTTCAAAGCCTGGAGGGTGAAGGTCGACCTTCATAGCAGCACGGAAGAAGAGGTGACTATACTTTCATTAGACAAAGAGGTCACATTTTTAAAGGTCAAATCTTTCATCTTCAATTTCCTAGCTGCAATCCAACCAGTGCTTTGAAATGCATTGCTGCTCTAGCTGTAAATAACAAAACCTAAATTCAGGCCAGTTTATGGAGCAACACTCAACACTATAGTTTACATGGCATGTCTTCTTTTGAGGCTCATAAAAAACAAATTTATCCCAGGAGGTGCTGCCTTACAACTGATGTCAGATTATTTTAGAATCAGAGATTGGAAATTAACATCTTGGCAACGGTGAAAACTGCTTTGTGTTTAGAGAGCAGGAAGTTAAATGCCTGCATCCATTTTTCCACCTTCAGCTGTGCAGCAGTGCTAAAAACAGACAAAACCAACAACAGCTTGCCTGCTTTTATGAATTCAGGTTGCCCTAGTTTGTGTGGCTGTGCATGCCTGTGCAGCTACTCTGGGTGAATGGAAAGAAGAGCTCCACATAGAAAGACTGGAGTGTTTTTTGGAGATGGCACTGGCTTAGAGGGGCACAGGCAAAGATTGGTTAGTGCAGCTGCAAAAAGATTGGCTCACACATCAGAAAATAGAACTGTGATGCATTTGGAGTAGGCAGATGTGCTTTATGAATAGGGGAGTAAGTAGGGCTGCTGGACGTAGAGCACAGCTGTATATGCTATATATGGATGATGTGGAAGAAGAGC